TGAATAGCAAGACTAAAATGACAAATTTTTAGTAAAAAAATTAGATTGTGCCCAATGGTATGTTGTTAAATGTTAAACAAAGAGGTATTTTTTTAAAAAATATGTATTTATAGCATTTGTCAATATCTATGGTGTAAATATATCTACCATGGTAGATTTCAAACTACTAACATGAAGTCTTTGTACTGGAAGTTGGAAAGAGATGTGCGAAATTGGCATTTTGGAGTTGGTATAAGCCAGTTACAGCACACTATGGATTCTGTCTTATGAAACAGATATAGTAATAGACCAGTGCTATCTTATGAACAGATACAGTAAGTGTTCAGTAAAATTCCTTTTTGAAGTTTGCTAAAATTTCTGAATTATAACCCACCATTAGGTAATGTATAGCTATCCTTTTAGCACATATGTTATCCAAATTTACATTTTTTAAACTAAGGAAGCAGAGATTGTGATCTTAAGCATAATCATCTACAACTTTAGAAACAACATATGGAAGAGAGTATGGACAGTAAAAATGGGAGGTGTATTGAGAGAAATTAAATCCCTGTGTCCAAGAACAACAGTTTCATTCAGATTCAAAATCCAAATTAAACCCAAAAGCTGACTCAGAAAAACAAGGTACAACAACAAAATATCTACCAAAATGAAGATACCAAACATAGGCAAGAGGTTAATATAAGTTTGGAGAACACAAACAGGAAAGCAATAAATGTTAACAAGGGAGGAAAAGTCCAGGGCTATAACTATAGCCTTCTAAGCTAATGTTCTTTTACATTTCCTGGAAATTAGTGATAATTCCTTTTTATATCCTTGGGAGGAAATTAATGTAGAAGATTTCTCTTTCTATATTTATCTGCCTTCCCTTTTATGGCATATTCCCTTATGTGTTAAGAATGATTATCACATTCCTATCTTAGGTTTGCACTGATGTGGTCAATAACAGCATTTTTTTTTCCATTTTATTTATACATTGGTTCATTAACAAGCATGCATTGAGTTTCTTACTTGTTGCATTCTTAATTTGACTTTTTACCTTTAGAACTGAGTTTTAATATCATGAAAATGCAAGCTTATTTTTGTAATATATTCCAAGAAGGAAATAGATTTTTTTGTGTGTGTGTTACGTGTCCCTAGCAGGAACCGAACCCGGATCTCTCTGGTTCGCAGGCCAACGCTCCAACCGCTGAGCCAAACCGGCAAGGGCGGAAATAGATTTTTATATATAGATATTTACTAACCCATGCATGTAATGTGTAAATCATGAGACCTCTTTTTCTTTATGAGGTCAGCCCTTAAGCCACTTCATGGTTATTGATCTGGAGAAGCTATATACTACAGGATTTCTAAAAGTTTAAGAATGACAGCATCCAGGAGATTTGCTATGTTGGCAACTTTTTATAGATTAGGATCTCATATATCTCTGTTCCTATTTCCATTTATCTCTCAATCAAGAGGGTAAGTCTCTTATCAGAGTAAAATGATCTGGCCAGGAGTTTGAAATACTATTGTCCTATGAGGTTGTGGAAAAACTTTGGTTCTATTACAGAAGCTGTTGCCTCTTTATTTATTTGTATAAGAAAGGGTCTGTTGCTATTCTTCCCTTTTGATACCTTTATCCATAGTAGAGGTTAAGACTAACTCTGGCAAACTCAAGGCAAGCCATAGCCCCAAAGACAGGATAAAAAAGGTCTGCCTTGAAAGTACTATTAGAGAAAATGAGTAGAGTAATCTGTGTAACTGGATGGTTGAAAAGGGTAGGGGTACCACAGTCTTTTGCCTGATGTGACTCCATCAGCAGCCTCCATAGTTGCAGAACATGCTGGTTTTTGTACCTTTAATTGTGATATTGTGAGATGGCATAAGCTTCAGATTCAAAAAGAGCCCTGATTCCTGAATGCTTTGCCCAGACAGGCCTGTCAACCACTGAAGTCTGTTTCCCAGCCACCCACGTCTGCATTTCATTGTCAGAATCCCAGCTTCAGTGGATCTTTGAAGCCTTCATTCAGCCCTCAAGCAGTAGTTTCTGGAGTAGCCTGCTGTCTCAGTGTGCTACACATATCTTACCCAGCAGAGTTGCAATGAAGTGAGTTGAAATGTTGATTGAATGACTGTATGCCAGATGACACTGATAAACTTGCTCAAGAAGTCAAATGTCATATTTGAAAGGCTCAGTGCTCACAGCTGGGTTAAAAGCCAGACACTAGCAGCATAGGTTCGTTCCATATGTATTTACTGAGTGCCTGCTATGAGTCAGGGACTGTAGCTCCAGTCTGTTATTTGACTGCTACTGTGTTTTTCAGGCTATCTGTTGGTCTTCTTGATTTGATCACCTGTTTGTCAGCATTACTAGTATAAATTTCAGGCAGTTTTCAGTCCCAGGTTTGCTGAAAGGATTGCCACCAAAGTACAATTCCCCAACTGCTCTAAAAATATAGACAGTGCTCCAATTGAAAGCACTATGCTTTTATAGTATGGAGTGGGAGACCTGAGTTCTAGTCTTGGCTGTGCCACTGTTACTTTGGGCCTGGTCTTATCTTGGCCTCAGTGTCCTCATGTGTTAAATGAGGCAGAGTGGTTTGGATAGTGTCTAAGGGCCTTTGCAGCTCTGACATACTTGGATTGGATGTGGTTAGATTGCATTCAGAAGTTGTTACAAAATTATAATGAAGCACTTTTGTGAACTGGTCTGTCATGGTTCAGGAGAGTAGGGGAGAAAACCCATCCTTTTTCTCTTGGCAGAGAAAATTGGACCATACTTAGTTCCTGTCATCACAAAGCAACTAATATTCAAGAAGGACCCAAACCAGTTATACTTAAACAGCAAGTTAAAATGACTTTATTACATTAACACACTTTTCTTCATTCAGCAAGAATTCTATTTTAATCTGTCATATCCGTTGTTACAACAGCATGTTTCAGTCCATTTCAGTTATGTAGATACGGCGATTTTGAAAGCACTACTGATTCTTATATGGTGACTGCAAATACCCTAGGTAGAATTTAGTGAGAGCCTGGCTTTGAAGCTGCTGGCTCTTTGGTGGGCTTAAAGGACCCACTTATTTAATGTAGCAGCATGCTACACATGGCTCATGATCAATTCAGTCATTTACAAGCCTATGGCAAAATGGCTTAAAGATTCATGCACCCAGGAGCTCCTCCCTCTGCCACAGGGAATGCCCCCATTGCTGCCTTTGTAAGAGGTGGCAATAAGGCCAGAGTGGCTCACCTTTACCAATTGCAGAGCATTGGGTCAGCAGACCTTTAGTCATTCAAATGTGAAATAACATGTCTCCATGCATAAATTAGTATCTTTCTTAAACCCAAGTTGGACAATTACAGTGTCTTCTCTCTTTTTCCCTCCTTTAGCAGACAATAGCAGAACAAATTTTTTTTTTCATGAAATCACAATCCTACTCATTATTTAAATATGGCCTTTTTTAATTACACAATACAAGACTCATTCCTACTCTGGAGTAAATGTGGATTCAGATACAGCTAGCATTTATTGAGCATCTACTGTGTAGTAATGTAGTAGGCACTGACAAAGCAATTTACATACATTATTTTTGTTAACTCATAAAACATATAAATGTGAATTCAAATTTAATGAACACTATTGGTGTTTGGCACACAGTAATCCCTCCTTGAATATTTTTTAATAAAGGAATATAATCACAGATTATCAAGGTCAACAAGGGCCTTTGGACAGCATCCTGTCAAGCTTCCTCATTAGACAAATGAAAAAATCAAAGCCCAAAATATGGAGTGACTTATTCAAGACCATATTCATAGCTTTTTAAACTCAGTTCTGTCACAGGTGGATCCACACTGCCTCATATAAACGCTTAGTGATAACAGAGCATCAAATCTCTGATGTGTTGTATTGCTTTTAAACACATTCTTCTGATTGTTTTGCTGAATGTAGTGTCTGGGATCCTTTTCTGTAAATGATTCAACAAGAAACACTTTTTTTGAGAAATTAAAAATATATTTATTGATATTTATGATTGAAAGTATTAACTGGAATTACTTGAAAGATATCAGCAATAGTGTGGCCTGGCTAGGGTGACTGATTCGCATCAACCAAATTAAAAAAGCTGAGATATGAACCAAAACACCAATTTATTAATTTATAAAGGAAAATATTTTATCTAACCAATTGAAGTATATGTGTTGGTCGGGCAACAACCCTCTAGAAACTTCAATATGGAAGGCCTAATTATAATAAAAAAATATTTCTTTGTGGGCTTGAAACCAGAAAAGGGGGAGTTAGTTGGCTCATTGGAATGACTCATGTATGTGAGCCTGGGACATCCTTCTTCACTGTGGGAATACACTAGTTAGGGGCTCATGATGCTCATGTTCTCTGGTCTGGGCAACTTCTTCCTTAGCTCTGGTTAGCACTGGAGACACACTGATGAATTTTTCCTTGTAGACTCTACTAGTTCTGTATTGCAAACTGTTCTTTTTCTGTTAACATTTTTTTTTAGCTTTTTTAGTTACATGTTAGTTTAATTCATAGAACCATCTCTAGTTGGACCTCCATAACAACACATTATAAACTCTTGGGAAACTATTCTGATAACTCATTCCTTCCATCATGTACGTATTTTAATTATGTGACTCTCTGAGAGGAATTTTTCCCCATGTTCTTTAGGCCTTACTTCATCCCTATGCTCAGATAAGTAAGTCGAAGACTAAGTTGAAGGCAAGTCTGGGTTTGATAGATATATATCATTGTGCATACCAGTAAAACAGTGTGATGCTCTCCTTCTCTTCTCTAGGTGTAGGGAAAAGGGGAGAGAAGGGGAGAGAAAGAGAAAAACTGACTTGGAGATTAGAAGTTATAAAAGATAAAGGATGCAGATATAAGGATACAGAAAAAGAAGTAGTATTTCTGAAGAGTTTTAACCTGTCAGCTGCTCCTGTGTTCTTTATTTATGAGTAGTGTGGTGTTTCACTTGTGATGGACTAGACCAGATATCCTGGATACAGATCTAATACATGTTGATGTTTTGGTGGGAGAGGTAAGAAAGATCTGGAACATGGAATGCTGCTAAGGAGGGAGAATCAGGAAGTCGCCTCAGTGGAGAAGTGTAATGCCTGATGAGCAGGATAAAGATGTTAACCTCACAATTTTGTCATGGTCACAAATTCTTACCACAATATTTCTCAAGTTATTTTATTTTCTGATCTACTTATTTTAGAAAATATCAATTCAAGATAGACTTTTTCCCATAGAGAGTAAAAGCAATATTCACCTAATGTATACATCCAAATCTGATGAGAAGGTAAAGTGATTAGTTAGTAAAACACCTTGTTTATTTTCATTCCCAAATATGTCAACCTTGGAAATACATTTTTCTTTAAGTGAGCTTTGTTTTTTCCTTAATCCAGTTGACATACCAGGATACCTTGGTATATATTCCATATTTTCCTTTCACTGCACACTCTTCACCCCAGCTAATAATTCCAGTTAAGAAACTGATGCCTTCCACCTCAGTAACATGGGGTCCCCCACTATCTCCTTGGCATGAATCTTTACCTCCCTCATGGAAGCCAGCACAGAACATGTTATTATAGATGGTGAACTTTGTGGAGCGAAGGCATGTGGCTCGGTCAACAAGTGGAACTTTAAGGTACTGAAGAATTGAAGCTGATCTCCCTCTGTTGAAGACTCTCCCCCAGCCACTCACATAGCCTGACCCAAATTTGAGGAAGATGTTTGTGTATTCCCTGTCAGCAATACAGATGGGTGTTACATAGCTGTTTAGCGTTAAGGGTGTATCCAATTCCAGAAGGGCAATGTCATGGCTGTACTTATTAATAGTTGCATTGTAGCTATGGTGAGGAATAGCACGAATCACATTTCGCTTTTGCTCTGTATGTTCCTCCTTCTCGGTGTTATGTTCACCTATTGAAAACAAATTTCTTTGTCAGTCACTGTGTTTCTCATAGAGACACACATTTTCCAAGTGTCCACCTAGGATCAATTACGTAACTAGCATTTCATCCACTGAAAACAAAATTTTCTTCAGTCACGCATATTCTTTCACACAAAGAAAGCAATTTTCAAAGTACCACTCGGCATAACTGAATTACATGGCAAGTATCAAAAATCTCAGTCTTACATTGGTATGATTTGGTTAAAATGTAATAAGGGCTGATGCATTTTCAGACCAAAAAGTGATTCAGGACCCATCATAGAGATGGTTCTGTTCATCCTTGCTGTTACAAGTCTTATGTTCTTCACAGGTGATAATGAATCTACTTGTCATGAATTATTTTAGGCTTTCTCAATTTCAAGTATTTTGACCCCTTTTTGCACACAAATAATACATTGATTTGATGATTTATTCAAATGTTAGCTGAGGGCCCAGTACATGTTGTGCCAGGCACTATAGATACACAGATCATTGTTATGACACAGCCTTTGGGAAGGCTCAGTATGGTAGGAAAATGGAGACTGTAAAAAATAATTGTTCTCCACTAACATGAGTGCTGACAAATGTAACCAAAAGAACTTTGGGAGGCATGCAGGATGAAGCAAATTGAGTTTTGAAAATATGGCCCCCCTATCAGTAGCCCAACTTATTTAATAATGATCTTATTAGACCTTGGTAAAATATAATATACTAATCTTACAGAAGGTCTAGTGGTGCTGCAGACTATTATCCTTTTTTATTTACCTGCAATAACGGTAATTTTAATACCAGGTTCAATACAGTGGGCTGCAGTTACGACCCATTTTTCATTAATGATGGAACCTCCACAGAATGCATCAATTTTACCATTCAGAAGGACCTGTGGAAACAAAGTTATGAATCTTATTATATAACATATTCGATTCAGAGCAAAATAAATAAGTGTGCTGTTTATAAGAGTGGGCCAACGGTTGGCTTCTATGTGCTGGCAGACCTGAAGTGTTTCTGGGAGGTGTCCTCATTGCAGATGAATTAATGTTTCGGGAGCACAATCAAAAAAGCCATTTCTGTAACTGCCTTGAGGAGAATGTACAGTGAGAGCCAGAGGGAGCTCTGGATGAGGCAAATATGAGGGGACAGCTACTTTTGGAGATCTGGGGTCCTCAGATTCCATTTCCAGGTGAGTCAGATTCTCTGTTGGCACGAATTGTACATTGAGAAATGCACTGACTTGACTCCTTGAGATCAGTAGTTATTGTTGAGTCTCCTGTCCCTGAATGAGAAAACCTTTTTGCTGCAGGTTATTTGAAGAGGAAAATTATTGATTTTTTTAGGAGATCTTTTCAAGCTCCTTCTAAACAAGAATATTATGAAATGAAACCTATGGCCTCCATACGGGCTATGTTTATGGCCATCTAGGCAATGAGGAACAGCAAGACTCATGTACTCCATCCATATCCGACTGCCCCTGGTTAATGTGTCAGCTACCTTTGTACTAAAAGGTCTATATAGCTATGCCTTATTTGGGGGCCAGTGGACAAAGGTGTTTAGGAGCTGCTTTGAGCCTGGGCATTATTAGACAAGAGGCCACTCCAGTCTTTCATCTGTACATTAATTGCACGGAGTGGACAATGAATATTTTCACTACCTCAATGACTAGATTAACTTGGAGAATTTCACTTCCATGGTAAGCAAGGACCTTGATCCACCTCTTAAGGAAAAAAGCTGAGAATGAGAACATAGCCCAATATTGGAGGAAACTAAAAGAATTTAATATTCAGTCCAGTTTACAAGTAGAAAGTAAATACTTTAAAAAATAATGACCAGCACTACAACCTAAAATCCATACAAAGTATATTATTTAAACATATTTTTTCTCTTTAAAATCATCCCCATTTTTAGGAGATAGCCAAGTTAAGACTGATTTATTTACAAAATAAACCTAATTCTAAAAAAAAAAAAAAAAGTTTCTGACCCCCTTTCCATACTCTAGCTTTCCCTCTCATTCTAACTGTTGCTTTTTATTTTGAAAAGTTGCAAAAATATAGAAAAAGTCACATAATATAATAAACTCCATTGTACCTACTACATAAACTTAACAATCTTCTTAATTTTGGGGGAGCATTTATTGATAACTTACTATGGACTAATCATTGTGCTAAGCATTTTATGTACATTTAATACAACACATTGGGGAGTGATATTAATATTTCCATTTATAATGTGCTGAGTTTTAGATATGCACATTAAATTGCCCTAAGGTTAGTGGTGAAACTAGGATGCAAACCCTAGTCTGACTGGCTTCAGAATCTATGCTTCTAAGTATCCAGTATTTCTCCAGTGTGGTTGGTGGAACAATTGCAGTAGAATCATCTAGGATGCTTGAAAATGCAGATTTGGAGGCTCACCCAGACTTAATCAGAATATTTAGGGGATGGGACGAGAGAAAATGAAGATCTGTGGAATATCCTTATGCATAATTAAGTTTGAAAAATTATATTTCAGAATTCCCAATGGTTGGTGACCTTTATGTTTTAAAAGTGCTCATTCTGGGCAGATCAGGCTACATAAATTATGGGGCTCAGTCCAAAATGAACATGTGGGACCTCCTGTTCAAAAGCCAGAAAACAATGACATCGAAGACACTAAAATACAAATTTTTTTCTTCTGTGGTTTCTGGCAGTCTATCAGGTTGTTATTATTTTATTAATTTTTAAATATGTTTTATTGATTTTTTGATAGAAATATCGATGTGAGAGAGAAACATTAATCAGCTGCCTCCTGCATGCCCCCTACTGGGGATTAAGCCCGAAACTGAGGCATGTGCCCTGACTGGGAATCAAACCCGGAACTCTCAGTCCATGGGATGATGCTCAATCCACTGAGCCACATCGGCTTGACTATCAGGTTGTTTTTATTATTATTTTTTTATGAATTTTTATTTATTTTTTTGTTACAGATATTTTACCTTTTTACCCCATTGGCACCCCCCACCCCACCCCACCTCCGCCCCGTCCCCGGCTTAGTTGTCCATGTCCATTGGTCATGCATACATGCATATAAGTTCTGTGGTTTATCTCTTCCCACCCCCCCCACCCCCCCGCCCCCTCTTCTGAGGGATGTCAGTCGGTGCTCTACTTCCATGTTTCTGGGTCTACTGTATTCCTCAGACTGTTATATTCATTATATTCCGAATATAAATGAGATCATGTGGTATTTGTCTTTTTCTGCTTGGCTTCTTTCACTTAGGATAATACTTTCCAGGTCCCTCCATGTCATCTCAAAGGATAAGAGATCTTTCTTTCTTACCGCTGCATAGTACTCCATTGTGTATATGTACCACAGCTTTTTTATCCATTCGTCTACTGGTGGACACTTGGGCTGTTTCCAGATCTTGGCTATTGTAAATAGTGCTGCTATGAACATGGGGGTACATATATTCTTTCTGATTGGTGTTTCAGGCTTCTTAGGGTATATTCCCAGCAGTGGGATCACTGGGTCAAATGGAAGTTCAATTTTTAATTTTTTGAGGTAGCACCATATTGTTTTCCATAGCGGCTGCACCAGTCTGTATTCCCACCAGCAGTGTACTACAGTCCCCTTTTCTCCACACCCTCGCCAACACTTGTTGTTTGATGATTTGTTGATGGCGGCCATTCTGACAGGTGTGAGGTGATACCTCATTGTTGTTTTAATTTGCATCTCTCTGATGATTAGTGATGTTGAACATTTCTTCATATGTCTTTTGGTCATTTGTATGTCCTGTTTGGAGAGGTGTCTATTCAGCTCCTCTGCCCATTTTTTAATGGGGTTCTTTGTCTTCCTTTTGTGGAGTTGTATGAGCACTCTATATATATTGGAGATTAACCCCTTATCTGATACATCATTGGCAATGATGTTCTCTCATACAGTGGGTTGCCATTCCATTTTGATGATTGTGTATTTTGCTGTGCAGAAGCTTTTTAGTTTGATGTAGTCCCATGTGTTCATTTTATCAGGTTGTTTTTAATTTATTATTTAATGTCATGCTTCCTTAGGCATGGGAAGTATTTACTGGGAGGGCAGATAATCACTGGTGCCCAGGAGCTGACATTGAAATTTAGCATGCAAGTATGCATACCCTCCTCCCACCAGACTGATGCCCTGTGCCCAAGCAATAGTAAGGATAAATTAATCTTTCCTTTCCACTGGCCCACTGCAGCAATCAACCGCAGAGTAGGGATTCCCAAGGGATTGCAACTTCCATGCCAGGATGTGCTCAGTACTTGGAATGGAGGTGGGCAGGAAGCTCACCTCCACCATTCACCCTCCAAATGTTCTGTGACACATTTTTGGTCCCGAGATGCCCCTTCCAAAGATGGCATAGGTTGTGTGAACCCAACCTTAATCTTCCCTGTGACGGTGCAGGAAGAGGATGACAGTGGTAACTCATGGGGATAAGTAGGAGGACTATGCCAGTGTGCCATGGTTTGGGGGTGGCAGTGGCCACTGTGCAAGTGTGAGAGGGGAGAGGAAGGGCTGGCCAAGGCACCAGGGGACAGGGGGTAGGAGGTCAAGAATCCATTCTCTTGGGTTACTGAGAAATGAGACTGCAGTGATTTGAGGTTCCAAGTCCCCAGCTCATGTGTGACCCTTGTATCATTGGACTTGAGTTATAAAACACAAATGCAAAGCATTGAACTTCAAATGTGGGACCCTTCTGAATGCACAGCCTTGTGCAAATGCACTGGTCACAAGCTCATGAGGCTGGCCCTGACTCCAAGTGATTTTCATCACAAAGCAAATAAGAGCAATATTGTTCTATATTGGTCCTAATGGTTACAACTGAATATCTCTGATCAAGTAACCAGAGTTAAGAATTCCCAAGTAACAGGGGTTAAGAATTCACTTCTGTATTAGAGGTGAATTAGACATCTTTCAGCTTAATGGTCTAGTTAGGCCAGACTAAATGATACCCATAACCCCTGAGCACAGAAACTATGATGTAGCCAATCTGACTCCATCCAAAAACTTGCTGTCAGAGCTTCTATTACGTTCTGGTGGATGATCAAGAAATATGGCTATGTTCTTTTAAGCCTAAAGAGCACTTTCTGCCAATCCCTGATTAGTATTAGAAATTTTAGGAAATGTCTTCATCATGAAAAAGCCCTAAGATATATTTGCATTTAAAGATATTACAAACAATTTGTTTGCTTGACTACTTCAAGATCACAGCTATCTAGATATTACTTATTTGGGGATGAGCTATCTGCTTGGCCGAGGACAAGTTCTTGTAAGTCATCCCTTATTAGAATAATGGGGTAAATAAGAAAGCATATGTTCTGAGCAAGTCATCTGAGTTCTGACCTGTCAAACATTTCCATGTTTGTCATGACCTAACAGGAGCCCGTTTTCTCCTTTTCAGACACACACAGATACACACCAAATAGATCCACATGCATCTACAAAATACATATTTACATAACTGTTCTGATGCTCTTCATCAACATTGCCAACCCAGAGTAACAGCTGTTGCCCTGTTGTTCACTTTCTAACATTTTAACTTGAACCTGGCCTTTCCTTGTGATTTTAGTAAACCTTTATTCTCCCTACCTAGCCACCTCCAGCCTTACAATAGCATTTTTCTATGTTTGCATACTTATTCTCTCTCATATAAAAAGCAAAACCATTTCTGCATGATGTATAGCTTGTTATGCCCACAGGTGTAATTCACCAAGCCCTAAGCACAAAGGCAATGCTCACTTTTAGTTTTTAGTGACTAGTTAACTAGGATAGTCATTGAAATAAAGATTTTGTCAAACCGTCCTAGAGAAGAATAGTCTAAATGTTCTGTGTAAAATAGTTTTGTGGGGCCAGGAGAGATTTCATTTGTCGTCTTTTTATTTCTTCTAATTGTAACTTTATCATCTGAGCTAGAAAAAATAGAGGGTTAACTTTTCCAAGTGAAGATGTTTCTATAGTCTTAGGATCTTGATATAACATCTTCCTAACAATCCCCTGACCCCACAAAAAAGAAAAAAAGAGTTCTATTTCATACATATGGTAACTTTGCATGCTGTCTGCCATGGGTGTGTGTCCTAATAGAATGGAAATAATTGGGTCTGTGTGGGTAGCTATACAGCTCAAGAGCTCAGGTCCCTTTAAGAATAGCTTCAGGCCAAAGCTGAGGAAAGCCCAGGCTGAGGAAAATGCTAAAACATTTTAGGATTCTTTAGGCCAAGAATAGAATAAAGAAGACAGCCATATTATGTCTTTTAAACACTTAAATACTGATTATTGCATATGATACAACCTAATATAAAGGACAGGGAAAGCTTGAGGACCTGGCTTCCATTCTATTCCACCCATGATAAAACAAAAAATAGAAGACCAGATACTTGGCATACAGGGCAGGACATATTCTAAGCCAAGGCAGAAGAGGTTGAAGGAACCTTTGGGGTAAGTTTATGTGCTCAGAATTGTCAGCTGACAGGATCAAGGGTGCGGGACCAAAACCAAATAAATCTTTGAAAATAAGCCAATCAGATAAAGACAAGTATACCATGATCTCACTTATTTGTGGAATCTAATGAATAAAATAAGCTGATGAACAAAATAGACCCAGAGACATGGAAGTAAGGAACTTATATGCGTATATGCATAACCAATGGACACAGTGTGGTGAAGGTGGGGGAAGAGGGTGTCAATTGGGTAAAAAGGAGGGTCATCTGTAATAAAAAAATAATTAATTAATTTTAAAAAGTTAAAATCTGCTCTGAAAAAAAAAAAAAAAAACTTGGAAAGCCTCAACACCACCTAGCTTCCTCAAATCTCTCACTATTAAACTGTTGATGAAGTTGGTCTTGTAGAATAGGTGTTGCAATTTCCCCTTTCTCTAATGTTCAAAAGTTCATTGCTTCCCTATGCAGCTGTATGAAATTCAAGTCTTGCTTATGTTCCTACTCCGCCAAGGAGACTAAGGATGTACTGACTCAAGAAAATAGCCATTCTGTTCCTTCATAATGCACATAACCCTTTAGCTTCCTCTCTTCCCTCCTGAAGTGTCCCTGCAGAGTCCCTACCTCCTTACCCCAAGCTAAAGTGGTTCTGAGCCCACCACTGGGCACCTGGAGAGAAAATGAAGGAATTTGGCCTTGCACCTCCTCCCACCTCTCTCAGTCCTTCTGTCATAGTGATGCCAGTTTCAAGTTAGGGAGGCCGGACCTTTGAAGTTGGGGGTCCGGGTGGGGCTTTGAAGGCAAGAACCAATGGAGGTTCTGGGAAGTGTCCATTGAAATCACAGCAGATGAGGAGGCCTTGTCGCCAGGCTCAGATGTGAGCCCTAGAATGAGGTAAGAAATGAACACAACCACAGACAGGCCACATGGAAGGTGAACATAGCTCCTCATGGTCTCAAAGATATCCCCTAGCCTACTCTAATCTCCTCCTAGGTAAACCAATGCCCTCGACATTCTCCCCATGAGATTATCGGAAACTGCTGTCCTCAGTGACAGAAGAGCTCTTCAAGTCAACCAGCGGTTCCTCCCAGTGTTTCCCTGAACATGTAGCTGACCCTGTGGTTAGAAAGGGCTTTTCTAACCAGGGCCAGAACCTGCCTACCTACCTGTAACTTTCACTCATAAATCCAAAATAATCTTCTTCCCCTTCACCCCGTGGCACTTTAGCTCTTGTAAACAGCTTACTTAACCCTTTTATTTATTTAATAGACTAAAACATTTCCAGTTCATTTAAATTGTCTTTACTCCAGCTGAAATTCAACTCCCTATGTTATTTGTGAGATTTCTTCATCTTAGTGGTTGCTTTATCCCCCCACTCCATTTTGTGAAGCATCACCATTTTGAATCACTCTTTTCTAGGTAACATTGCTAAACAGTATTTTCTATTTCATTGCCATAGAATATTTTGACCTTTGAAACTCCAGCTATTGCTTACTTTCTCTTGATGCTTTGGGCTGCAGCAGGTGCATGGCAGTCTTTCCTGCAATCAAATCAAGTATTTTCACCCTGCATATTAATGGTGATGAGGTGGAGATGGTTCTTCTACAAATAAGAGATTCTAGTTTGTTTCATTTATGTTTGTTCTTTGTCTAAAAGTGACTTTGGATACTCAATTTATCTCATATTTTTAAAAACAAGTAACCTTTTATGAGAAACTGGGTGGAGGTGGGTGTGGACAGTTATCTGGTGAGGATGGAAACAATGTGGAAATATGACTGGGTCATTCTTAAGTATCCTAGAAAGTAGCTCAGTTATTCACCTTTGGGAAAAAAAACTAAACCTAGTACTGTGGGTCTTCAGTCAGTAATCTTACTTCATGTGGGTAAAATAGGGAGGGAATGTGTATGCACACATGTGTGCATACATGTGGATAAGTGATCTGGAACATTCCAAATGATCTTAGCTTGATAGGAAACAGATAACAGGTATATTAACTACAAGTGTGCAGTGAGGACATGACAGATTTGAAATGATGTGTGTCATTTATATTTTCTTCCTCACAGTACAACTGTAATCACCGTCTAATAGATCTTTTCTGCTTAAAAGAAAAAAATAGCTTGCTAGAGTAAAACTTCTATTAGGAAACACTTGCATTGTTAAAACATTGTCAAACACCTGTCTTAAAGGGGATGTGTAGGAAACAGATATTATGTGACTCAATTGAGACTTTACAAAATCCTATATTTTTATCTCTCATTTAAATATATTTAATGCCATTTAATTTTTGGGAGGACAAGGAACATGCTAAACCTACAATGCATGCATTCTGGGATTTTTAAAAAAATTTTTTTAAAAATGTGAAGTCATCTTCTTAGCTAATGAAACACCCCTGGGTGACTGGATCCTTCACTCTTGGCACTGCTTTATATCCCACAGTTCCAAGGAAGATAATAATTATAAAGTATAATTTTTTGTTCTAAACATCTTACCCATGGAAGTTGGATACAGAATGAATGAAAATACACAAGAACACGGATAGTAAAATTAGAATTAAATGCATGGATGTTAAATAAAGTAAAGCATAATTGGAGTGGCTGACCCAAGAGGGAGTGTTCAAGGAGATGTGGATGAAGGTCAAAGGTGAGTCTTATCAAGAGTCAAGAATGAAAGCAAAGATGTAGGTGAGTGAAGGAAGCAGCACTGGCAGGATGCTTAAGTAGGGGACAGAGGGGGTGTAAATGAACATATAGTGTATTGTATTGTCTATAAGATTTTGTAAAGTTTTGGATGTGATGGTCTACAACCTTTCAGTACAATTCTTCAGAATTTCTGTGCCAAATCCCTATTTTCCAGGAATAGCTTCAATATCTTATACCCATTGTATTGAATAAATGTGGGTAATCTGAAGAATCCTGGATAGATACATAGCTAGTTCCAGAAAATTCCAGTAGTGTTAAACCTGGAGACATTTACCTGATCCTAGCTTAAAACTTACCTGTTGGATGATCAAACAGTCTTTAAAGCTATTGGTCTCTGATGGCAAATATTCAAACCTCAGTAGAGGGGTTTAGTGAAACATCCTGCAGATTACCACAAAATCACATGACTGTGGCCACTAGGGAGTTTTATGTTAGACTCAACTATTATAAGCACAGTCCAATAGAACTTTCTGTGATGATGAAAATGTTCTGTATCCCCACTTTCCAGTATGGCTATTGTGTACTTGAAATGTGGCAGGTGTGACTGAGGAAGTGAATTTTAAATTTGATTTGATGGTAGTTAAATTTAAATAGCCACATGTGGCAAATAGTTACCGTATTGGACAGCACAACTTTATATAAGGACCAGCCTGCATCTTTGTCTCTGGGCCTACTCCTCTCAAGTGGAATCACTTAGGCTTTAGATATAACCAGTTATAACTCAGATTTTGCTACAAATTTAGCTATTGGTTGTCACCTCAAAAATGTGCACAGGTGATTCTCATGTGGGTTGTCTACAGTTCACACCTGGAGGAATGTGCGATTAGGTACAATGAATCCACTATTTGGGGTTTGGGGACTTAGTTTCTATAAGATTGCTTCCTTTGGACCATTGGATTTCAAATTATACTGTGCATTCTAATTACCGAAAGGGCTTGTTGCGCACAAATTGCTTGGCCCCACCCCCAGAGACTCTGATTTGGTAGGTCTAGAATGTAGCATGAAAATTTGCATTCCTAACGAGTTTCCAGGTGATTCTCATACTATCACACTTTGAGAACCACAGGCTTGGACCAAGCCCCTATCGTATAACCTGGTTCCAATAGCCTTGTTCTTGTCTTAATGCTTCCTACTTGAGTCCTTTTTAAGATCCCTTAGAAATAATACAGTTTTTCTGGACCTAGAGATTTTCTGATTCTTACCAGTTCTGCCAGGGCTGAAGCTAAAGTAGTACCCTGAACCACAGTACCTGTGACCTCACATCCAACCCTCCCTATTGCTTGTCTGGAATCCTGTTATGCTATTTCCTTGATGCCAAACTCTCCTTGACCTTGTATAGTAACTATCTCTGAACTTCTCTTTCACCAGCATCCCACCCATGGGGGCTTCCAATATTGTATAGTGCTAAACTTGCCTAAACACTCCACATCTACATAGGTCTACCTAGAGTGCAAGCCTCAGCCTCCCACCTGGCCTGCCCCTTGCCCTCCAGTTTTGACACACCATCAATATAGAGTACCTGCCAAGGGAATTGACCTGGTTTGGCATTTTTTCCACCAACAACTCGAGTGAAGTCATTAAATGGTTGGGTGTTTTGAGTTACATTATCCACAAGTGTTTCATCTTCAGTAGAATTTTCATAGTCCATATTGGAAAAAATAGTCTCAGCACGGGTGAGCTTCTGAGAATTGAGTGAAATAGAAACTTTCCCACATGGAAATGGCACTAGAAAGATGAGAAAAATAATAGTATTTGACTATTTCTCATTGGCAAACAGAACATTTATTACAAAGGTTGAAAAGAAGGCCCATCCTTGTCACTTCTGAAAATTTGGCCCATCAATATTTTTTAATCTAATCAATAAATATAGTTTCAAACTAAAAGGTTAATTGCATTATTTTCATGGAAAGTTTTCATACCCTTCATAAAAAGAACATTTGGCTCAAGAATTCATCATCTTTATGAAAATAAGATAAGAGTTCCAGAATCAATTCTGTAAGACTTTTATAAAGTATAATGACTTTCTGTGTAGATTTTTTTTTCCCCTAAAAAGTCTTATTCCCAAGTACTGTCCCTGAATAGAAGTCTGATTATTGGTGCCTTGTAATTTTAACTTTAGAATTAGGTAAATAGGATTTCTGCCACTTATTGTTAATAGAATTATTTTTGTATTCTAGAATGCCTTCTAGATTCCAAGATGGATTTTAGTTTTCTCTTGGGGGTTGGGGATCCTTATGATTTAATTATCTGACTGTCAAGTATTCACCAAATAAAGTATTAATGTGATTATCATAGTCATATCCACCTGGAAACTGACCACCTTTTTACCTTGGGTTGGTTTATTTCCCAAAGAAAATAAATTGTCTACTGATGCATTAGGGACAACCAGAATGGAAATTTGTAGTCAAGCAAAGTCACCTTACATTTCATTTTCATTTCTCACATTCCTTCCAGCCACATTCCTTATAACAGACATTTCTATAGCAACCAGCTGCAGCAAAGTATCATGAAGACTGCATGTGGTTGGGAAAACAGGAAATTTGTTCAAAATACTTATGTATAAATATAAATCATCAATGGTTAGAGGAACAGGACCATTATTATTGAAAGGCAGAAATGCTTATTTTAGTCTTGGCCTACTTATTGTGCTAACGATAAGGCTATTGTACTAACGATAAGGCTATATTCAGATATAACACTTAATATTTGGAGGTGATTCTTAATTCTTTTCTTTTCTCTCTTATAATATAGAAGGATTTATAAGGATTTAGCTACTATGCCATCTGTTTACACTGAAACATCATTTCAGATCTGTCATGTCCTCCTCACTGCACACTTGTATAAGTGTTATATATATTCTCCTTCCAAGTAGGCTGGATTTGAAGCAGTGTATGTGAAGAACCAGGTGGGACAAACAAGTAGGTCCTAGAAGCATTAAATACTCTTTATTTTAGTTGCAGCATGAATACTCTTGGCTTTCAGTCTTTTCTTTAATTTCCTCTGCTGAGATAGGTATTGAACCCAATTACAGAGGAATGGTGCATGATATAATGCACCAATTTAATAAGATATCAGGCTTTGGAAATGCAAAATTAATTGTATGTTGTTTCAACTAGGCCCCTCATTTATCAAGTATAACTGATTCTGCAGAACCTACATTAAATTTTTTTTTTTTAGAGAAGAAGGGAAAGGGAGAGAGAGAGAGAGAAACATCAATGAGAGAGAACATTGATTGGCCCCCTCCGGCATACCCTCACTGGGGATTTGGCCCATAACTTGGGCATGTGCCCTGACCAGGAATCAAACCAGCGACCTCTTGGTGCATGGGTTGATGCTCAACCACTGAGCCACACCAGCTGCGTAGAACCTACATTTTTAGAAATTGAAGTTTCTATTGCTTTCATTAACTGAGAATAGCCATATGAATCTGAAATGGTGATGTTCTGAATAAACCAGTCAGCTGTCAACATGTTGGCGTGGTAAACATGACTGGGAAACACTGCTTTGTCCATTGCTAAATAGATGGACTGTGCTGAGCTGCCTGGCACAGCTTAAAACAGGTGGTTGTCAGAACTATTCTGATGCCAAAGCTGTAAACTCAGCCTGAGACCCAAGGACAGGAAATAACTTTCTCAGAGGAAACCAGCCACACCTTGGCAGCATCATGTTGTTAAAATTCACCATACTTGTACTACAACTCTATCAGTCAATGCTTTAGATGTCTTTCATGGCATAGATTTACTACGTTAACTTGACTGGATGAATTACATAAAGCACACAAATCAATTGCTTTATGACATAAAAGTCAAAGTAAAAAATGTACACATGGAAAATAATTCAGACTACGGACATTTACAGAATTTCTTTTTAAAATGATGATGCATCTGGAAAAATTAATTTTTCCAATTCATGTGACTACTCTTTTCTATGATTTCAAAAGAAAGTAGAAAAAAGTAGGGATGATAATTATGTGGGCTAGTTAAAATGCTAATGGTTCAAATATAGACTTAGAGAATGTATCTGCCAAGATTTAAAACATTTTTTTTAGATTTTGACCTGCTGGTTCACAGGACTTTTGGTCTTCTGCAAGTTGGTATCCTGCAGTACAGGAGCAAAGAACCTTGTTATCTGTGCCCTTTTTACAAAACTGCTTGCACCTGCCATTCTTAATGCTGCATGTTGCATCTGAAAGAAAGCAAAATAAACAGTAATAGCATCATTTAACATGCATTTCTAAAAAGTACATAAAACTACTGACTCATGTATAGGTCAGATATAAGCTGGGACATTCATTGAGACAAGCCTAGGAGCCTTGAGCTAAGAGTAAAAAGATAAAATAAAATAAGGCATATAATCGTGGTAGCAATATATTTGATTAGACGTAACACAAAAGATTCGGATATTCTACTTTCACTAGATCATGGACTACAATGTAAATATTTATTAAATATAACACATATTCAGAAAAGTACTCAGAACTTTAGTATAAATTTTTCATAAAGGGGATTCACATGTTTAAACCCTAAACAGAACAATACGTAGGATGTTATCAACACTGTGGAAACTCTCCTAATGCCTCCTTTCAATCACTATACTATTCCTTCTTTACAAAATTACCATTACCCCAACTTCTAAAAATGTATGAGTTTTGCCTGTTCATGAAATTTATATAAATAGAAGCTCAGAGTATGCACTTCTTTTCATTTAATATTTTGACTGTGAGATTCATCCCTGTTGCTTTGTGTAGCAGTACTCCATTTACATGCTGTGTAGTTTTTCACTGTGTAAATATGACTACCTTTATTCACTCATTTTACTGTTGTTGAATACTTGAGTTGAGTTTCCAGTTTTGGGCTCTTGTTTTTGTATGATGCAGTTATGAACATTATTGTATATGTCTTTTGGTAATATATGCATGCATATTTCCTGGGTGTATACTTATGAGTGCAATTATTGAATCATGTTCAGGTTTAATAGATATTGCCAAGTAGGTTTCTAAAATAATTGTACATAGTTATTTTATTAAACATTTTTAATGTTGAGCGGGGAGGAGGGATGTTCAATGTGGGGGAGGGGGAAACATCTATAATAATTTAAAAAAAAAGATTTAAAAAATTTTTAATGTTGAAATTATTGCAGACTTCTCCCATTCCCCATATCTCATTGCCAACCTCCACCTACTCTCCCCTGTCCCTCTCTTGGCCTTCATCACACTGTTGTTCCTGTTCATGGGATATGCATATATATTCTTTAGCTAATCCCTTCAACTTCTTGATCTAGTCACCCTCACCACTCTCCCCTCTGGCACCTGCCAGTCTTTTCCAAATACCATGCTTCTGGTTCCATTTGTTCGTCAGTTTATTTTGTTCATAGATTCCACATATTAGTGAGATCATATGGTATTTGTCTTTCTCTGACTGGCTTATTTTGCTTAGCATAATACTCTCCAGGTCCCTCCATGTTGTCTCAAAAGGTAAGAGGTCTTTCTTTCTAACAGCTGCATAGTATTTCATTGTGTAAATGTACCACGGCTTTTTTTTTTTTTAATTCTTCATCTGAGGACATTTTTTCATTTATCATCAGACAGAATGGAAGGAAGGGAGGGAGGGAGGGAGGGAGAGAGAGACATTGATGTGAGAGAGACACATCGATTGGTTGCCTCCTACATGACCCCAACCAAGGCCAGGGACCAAACTGCAACCTAGGTACTTGCCCATCACCATAATTGAACCTGTGACTGAGACAATTTGATTTGCATGGCTGATGCTCTAACCATCAAGCCAACCCGCCACAACCCACCAGGGCTGTACCACAGTTTGTTTGTTTTTAATCCACTTATCTGCTGATGGACACTTGGGCTGTTTACAGATCTTGCCTATTGTAGATAACATTGCTATGAACATTAGTGAATATATTCTTCCTGACTGCTGTTTCAAGGTTCTTAGGCTATATTCCCAGAAGTGGGATTCCTAGGTCAAAGGGCAATTCCATTTTTTGAAAAATTATCTTTAGAAGAAAGCAGACTTAGGGAAGATGGCGGCAGGGAGGATCAGAGGGAGGATGAGTGTGTGAGAGAGTGAGCAAGTGTGTGAGAGAGTGTGAGTGGACGCGAAGGTGGACAACTAAACCCGAGCAGTGCAGAGACTCAGAGCAGAAGGTAACTGTGCTGTGGACAGGAGAAGCCAACTAACGTGGTAAGCGGCCCTTCAGAGCGCTTCTCCCTGCACTGCAGGGAAGTCCCACCATTTTGGAAGATTCCCAGGTCTTCCCTGGGAGGAGGCAGTGGGAGCTGCTAGGGCCCAGCAACCTGAGCCCACCAGCACACTTGGCACCATAGGACCAGGGGACACTCTGTGACAAAACAGACCAGTGCACAGTAGTGGAGCTCCCAAGGTGCTGGTCGTGGAAGCTGCAGACAGCCTGGAGCTCAGCACCATCCCCCATATAGCAGCCCAATCAGAGTTGAGATATACCCCCAGCAACAGAGGCTGGGGAGCAGACATCCATCCCCAGGCAACAGAAACACAGACCAGCAGCTGAGACTCATCCCCAAAAACTACAACAATAGCTGAGCAGGAGTTGAGCCCCACAGGGCAGCAGCATGCCCCAGCTTCCAGTAGCTAAACTTGGGGCTCCACAGAGGCCGGTGTGGTCCAGTAGCTCAAGATCAGTGGGAAGCCTAAGCCTGAGAGAGACTGGTGCCATGCAGCTGCCCACCCATGGGACCTGCAGGGTATGAGGGCACCAGAAAGGCTTGTGCCACCCAGCAGGGACTGTGCGATCCAGTTACCCATGGGACCTGCGGGGTGCTGAAGCACCAGAGAGGCCTGCATGACCCAGCAAGAATGGTGCCATCCAGTTACCCATGGGACCTGTGGGGTGCTAAAGCACCAGAGAGGCCTGTGCCACCTAGCAGGGACTGCACAATCTAGTTACCCATAGGGGCTGGTGGTGCAGAAGCACCAGAGAGGCCTGTGTGACCCAGCAGGGACTGTGCCATCTAGTTACCCACTGGACCTACGGGGTGCTGACGTACCAGAGAGGCCTGTGTGACCCAGCAGCCCATAACATAGGCATAGAGCCAGGTCCCCAAAGGATCTATGTGATCCAGTTACCTATGGGACCTGCAGAGTGCAGGGGCACCAGGAAGGCCTGTGCGACCCACCTGTGCACAAGACTGGCATAGAGAATGTGAAAAATGGAGGTGGAGTGAATAGAAGCTACACAGATAATCTCCCAGGACCAAACGGAAATTACAACTAAAATAAAGATAAATCCTCAGACAAAAAGCAACAGAAAAGCAGCAGGACAAGACCTTAAAACCAGGGACACTGGTAGGATCTGAGGAGGAGTGAGAGGGTGGAGGGATGGGAGCCCAGGGTTAGCAGCAGTCTTAGCTGTGAGCAGCACCTTTGGGGAATAAAGACCAAGCCCGCTCCACAGTGCAGAGAGAAGAACAGAGCACTAAAATAGCCGTAGCCACTAACCTGGGGACTAATGCAGAGGGAGGGCAGACTGGGCTGGGACTCTGTGGGGACACATGGGATTTGGAGGGCACTCAGAATTTTTGCTGAGTTGAGCCCACAAAGGACAGTGGCCAGTGTGCTCCTTCCCCAAGCTGTGAGGAAAAGCAGCAGCCGCACCCCACCCTGAAGATTCAGCCTTTCTTAAGTGAGGCAAAGAAATGAAAATGGAGGCTCATTAATAACCAGTTTTTATCCCACCCTCTAAAAATCCTCTTATGCAGAACACCAGGGCTACACTACAAGGCACTGAGTGACTGAGACTAGCCACAAGGAAAAAGCTAGAGGATAACTGAACCATTCCTGGGCTTGTAAATCTACCCAGGAAAGTAAGACTTGACATTGGTGTTTAACGTGGGCCCACCTAGGCTCATCCAAACCCAGCAGAGGGAGCCACAAACTGCAGAACACCACATCCACAGGGAAATTTGGCAGGCTCAAAAAACCAATGAGATAGCCAAAATGGTGAAACAAAGGAACAAATCGCAAATGAAAGAACAAGAGAACTCTATGAAAGATGAGATAAATTAAACACAGCTAAGCAAATGATCAGAGATTGAGTTCAGAGCCATGATCTTGAGGAGGCTCAACAGCATGTGTAAGTACATCAGCACCATGAGTAAAGATATAGAAACACTGAAAACCAACCAAGTGGAAATGAAGAATGACACAGCAGAAAGAAAGAACGGATTGGAAGGACTAGTCAGCAGAGTAGAGGAAGCTAAGGACCAGATCAGTGAATTAGAAGACAGGGTAGAAAAATATCAACCAATCAGAAAACTAAAAGCAAAAAAAAAACACTTAAAAAAACAGGAACACAGCTTAAGAGAACTATAAGATGACTGGAAATATAATAATATTAGGATTGTAGGAGTCGCGGAAGAGTAGAAAATGGGCAAGGGTTAGAGAATATATTTGAAGAAATAGTGACAGAAAACTTCCCTAACTTGGTGAAGGAAGAAGGCATTCAATTTCAAGAAGCACAGAGAGCCCCAAGTAAGAACCCAAATAGGCCCACACCAAGACACATAGTAATTAAAAATGCCAAAAATTAAAGACAAAGTGCGAATCCTAAAGGCAGCAAGAGATAAGAAACCAGTTACCTACAAAGGAATCCCCATAAGGCTCTCAGCTTACTTCTCAACCGAAACACTACAGGTCAGAAGGAAATAGCATGAAGTAATCAAGGTCATGAAAAACAAGGATCTGCCTTGGCCGGTTTGGCTCAACGGTTAGAGCATCAGCCTGCGGTCCCGAGAGACCTGGGTTCGGTTCCCGCTGAGGGCATGTACCTCGGTTGCAGTTTGTCCCCGGCCCTGGTCGGTCGTGCAGGTGGCAGCCACTCGATGCGTTCCTTTCACATCGATGTTTCTCTCTCTCTCTCTCCCTCCCACTCTACCTGAACAACAACAAAAAAAATGTCCCTGCATGAGGATAAAAAAAAAAAAAAAAAAAAACAAGTATGTGAATTCAAGACTATTCTATCTGGCAAGGCTATCATTTAAAATAAAAGGTCAAATAAAGAGCTTTCCAAAAAAAAAAAAAAAAAGGCTAAGGGAATATATTAACACCAAACCAGCACTGCAATATATGCTAAAAGGATTGCTATAATGAGTGAAATAAATAGGAAGAAAAATAGAATCACACTAAACAAAAATGGTA